TACACATATATCTAGTTGCATATATTTAGGGTGTCACCTATATTGTTATAACCTCAAATAATAGTTGTTTATTTTTAACCAGTTACAAAGTAATCATTTAAAAGACTTTAAAACAGGTACAAATCCTAATTCCTTTTAGACTTAGTTTCCTCAAGTATGAAAGCCTAACAGATAAAAGAAAATTATATTGATAGATAAAAACAGATAAACATTTCAGACTTTTCTTCATATCAGTACATTAAAGTTCAAATAACTTTGTGGTAATTATAGCCAATTTACTCACAGAACAAAACTTTTTGAGATTTACCTTACACAAACCTTCTGCGACTTACTTAGACATCACAACTTTTTTACATCTGTAGTTTTGTCCTCTCTTTCATCTTGAATTTTACAAAAATATTACTTTACCAGACAAAATATGTTCTCATCCAGAAACATTTCTTTTATCTTCTGATTTTCCATATTGAAATATATTTCCATAACTGTAACTTTCATTTATTTTTTCTAGCCTTGGACCCTTTCTTAAATTCTGAAATAATGCTTATTAATGTTATCTGTGAATTAATTTACACAAATTTCATCCCAGGAGAGGGTTGGACAGTCCAGGATCAACCAATTCCAGGTTGCATGCAAGGGGTTGGAGCACAGGATATTTTTGAGCCTGACCTGTCTCCCTTATCATTATCACAATGCCAGTAACTGCATGTTCCCCACTGTCAGTTATACCCAGAGGCTCCTTTGGGCCTTTTTCTTACATTAGATGTATTGATATGCAGGCTTTTTCCTTGAGGATCCCTTTGCAAAGGCTGCCAGCAAAACAGGTGTTGACCTTTCTGTTTTTTCTTTTCTGGGTGCAGTAGTTTATTCTGTTAATTTCCCTGTGCATTTAGTTTGATGGGATACTGTTATGGCAAGAATTGCTTTGCCCCAGTGATGGATCTTCTCTGGCTAAGTGGTGTGTCAGATCTTAAAAGGGGGAAATGATTCCTATCCTCAGGTCATAAGCTAACAGTGCTAGAATCTACTGCCACATCCTTTGTGGCCAGCAGCAACCCCCTTCACCCCCACCCCCTGCTCTTTGCCCATTTTTCTACAGCCCAGGCAGCTTTTCTGGGAGTTCCAGGAAGCAAAAGGGGCTTTGGCAGCTACTGGGATGATCCCTCAGTCCCTCTCTTTACTCAAAGGAATAGCTCCTCTGGTTTGATCCAAGGCAAACTCAATTCATCTCCTAACTCTCCAGCAACTGGCTGTCAACAAGTTCTCCAGCCACCTTGCATCCTCAGCATGGAAGTGGGGTTACTTGGAGAGTCACGCCTAATAAAGTAAGGTGGAGCAGGAGCTGCTCTGGGGTCCCACCTGGGGTGCCAAATTTGTTACCGAAAGTCCAGTTCTTGTCCCCATGTCAGTCCAGTACAAGGACATGGTTTTGAGGAAAAGGAAAAAGAAGTTATATTTTTTTACTAGCAGAAGAGTAACACAGGGACTCCTATCCAGAGGCTGAGATTCTCTGAAACTATAATTTCAAAGCATGCACATCTTTATAAAATGTTTGATGTTTAGGTATTTTATTGTCTAATATACAGAGCAAGTTTGATGCTGGGTAATGTATACTGGTAAATCATATTTACTATGTATAATTAGTGAGTTCACAGCCTACCAATAATCCATCCATGTTAATATTCCTTATGTTTTTCTTCTCTTTCACACTTGGCTCCCAATGTCATTCTGATTGCCCATTTAATTTAGGGAACTTTGCTATATCAGGCACCATATAAACTGAAATGTTACATTGTTGAATGTTTTACAAGCACTCAGAGTTTGTAAAATGTCTGTTTGCTGTTTGAAAAGGCAGTGCAACTACTCAGGCGTTAAGTTTGCTCATTATTCATGCAGTTTGGTATCAGCATCTTTTCCTAGCTCTCTGCATTTTAATGACGTTTTGATGCCCCACAGTTATTTGAGCTTGTGTTCCTAAACTAAATGGTAATATTTGGAAGGAAAAATCTTTACAGTTTTGCTTAGGATAGCTTGGTTTAGTCAGCTTTCTCGATGCTGTGACTTAAAGACCCAACTAGCACAATTATAGAGGAAAAGTTTATTGGAGAGCTCGAAGTTTCAGAGGTTGACAGAGGCTCCATTCCTCAGGGCTCAAGGTGAGTCAGTTCATCATGGCTGGAGAGTGTGACAGGGAAGCAGCTCATATCATGGTGATCAGGAAACAGAGAGACTTTACTCGCCAGATACAAGTATATACCCCAAAGCCATTTCCCACCTAGTTCCCACCTCCTTTAGCCCACACCCTATCATCTCAATTACCACTCAGTTAATCCTAATCAGGGGATTAAATCACTGATTGGGTCAAGGCTCTCATAACCCAGTCATTTCTTTCATTGTCTCACCTATGAGCTTTTGGGGGACACCACATCTAAACCCTAACATAGCTTCTGGTTCTTTATCTGCTGGTACTCTCCCTGTTCTTTAAATTAAAAATCAGAAAGTAACACGCTTTGAATTTGCACTTAATAGCATTATTTAATGTTCATAGTGTCCTTTTGTGTCTAACTTTCACAACTTCTTTGATCTTTATCTTAGTAAAAATGAAGTTGTAACAAGAGGAGATAAAGGTCAAATGGATAAAATAATGGGTCTCTGTTTTGAACTTAGTGTGTCCTTTTTAAAACTATGAAAAATCCGGAATGAAGTTGCAGTTTACTGTGGCCAGAAGTATCCTTCTTATTTATTTAATTGACATAATCAAGCCTTTGTATTAGTTTATCCGTAGATGACAGCTAGAAAAAATAGGGGGAAAAGAGACATGGGAAATTGACTGGGTAACACAAGGTAAACAAATAACAAATCATTTAAAATTTTAATGTAGTTACCTGAATATGAAAGTAAGTTTCAGAAGTGACTAATTATGCCTGTGTAGTCACCAGCATTTTTGTTCAGTTAATTGCTCTTGGATTCAGTAGTGAATTTATGCCTATTTAAATCCCTAAAATGCAGGCAATTCATAACCTTCTGAAAAGCTATGTGAAAAACTAAATAAAGAAAGTGAGAAAGTGGTTCCTCAGATAATAAGGTAATGGATATGAAAGGAGTTTGAAAAAGTGACAGCTCTAACTATTCCACTGAAAAACTTCTTTAATTAATGCCTGGGTCCTTCAAAATCTTTCTACATCTATACATCTACTCTAACATTAGCTATCCAGTTCCTTCCTTCATTCTTTTTTTTTTTAAAATATCTTTATTTTTTTATGTGGTGCTGAGAATTGAACCCAGTGCCTCACACATACTAGGCAAGCACAATACCTCTGAGCCACAACCCCAGCTCCCTTCCTTCACTCTTATCCCTTGCTATTAGTAAGCCTCTTAGAATATTTCATTCCTTGTCATGAAGACAACCAGCATTGGCCCTGGAATCAGGTAGACTTGAACCTAAATCCTCCTTGGCAGTTTATAAACTTGTGAGTTTGGAAAAGTATGTTAGTATTTCTGAATTTTGGTTCAGCTATGTAAGATGGAATGAAATTTACCATCATATAAAGTTATAAAGATTAATAATAAGGATAAAATGCCAAGTCTGGTTCCTATCCTGTAAATGCTCAAATTTTGTGTTTCTTTTCCTTCCTTACCTAGCTATGGATTCCTTTTATAAGACAGAAAACCTATTAGCTCACTTACCTTTCTCATTACTTTGTCCCAGACAATATAATCATGCTAGGAGACATTTTGTGTAGTATAGAGTCATCTTTCTGCCCATTGCTTTTTAAAGTTAATAGATTTTTAGTTTAAACAGTTTCTTGTTTGATTGTAGTTGGTAGATTTTGACTTAAAATTTACACTCATTTGTGTATATATTCTTTTATTAATTATTGGGGGCAGGACATTCTGTTATCATTTTATCATGTTTACTAGGATGTCTATAAAAATTTACTTTTGACCTAATTAATAAAACTTTTGTACTTTGGGAACTCTAATTCTAAGGCCGGAGTTGACTTGGCATTGAGCTTTTTAAATTAAAAGTTAACAAATTAAAGGCAATGTCATAAGGTACGTTTTAAAAAATCAGTAAATGATTCAAAGGCATGTATTTTTCTTTTATTTGCATTTTTATTGTTTTTACAGAATTTAATGTAAGTATAGTGAAAAGATAGTGACCATATTGTATTTCCCTTACAGTTAGGACAAACATTTTATACTTTGCTCTCTATCTTTATGAACTTATAAGAAAGTTTCAGATTTATGAAGCAGTTGCTCAATAAAAGGACTTTGGTTGTTTCTAATTTTATGTTTTTGTATGTGTATTGAACCTTTTTGTCTTATAGTTTTGCATTATCTTTAAAATAAATCTGAGGGATTGAGATTAATAGATGGATCAACTTAATAAAGTCTTTATTCTTCTCATCCTGTCACTGACTGTAGTGTCTGTTTGTTATTGGATGAAAATTCTTTTGAGATAGTTGCTTAAAATAACAGCTCTCTCAGTCCTTACTCCCAGAAGAATTGTTTTTTTTTGAATGTTGTATCTTTATCCTTCCATGACTTAAATAATTAATTCCATTAATTATTAAAATATCCCAATTGATAAGGTCATATGTGTGACCTTTTTTTTTAAAAAAAAAACTCTATATTCTTATTTTAGAAAAAGGAGAATATAATGCAAAATGAAAAAAATTATTTTGTTTGTAATTTGAAAAATGCAGTAGAGAAGTATTTTTTTCATACACACTCGCTTGGAGATCTAATTTTATTTCTTATGGACTTTTCTATTGTTATCTATAGCTCAAGGTGATAAAAGTAATTATAAAAATGAAATAGTTTCAGCATAAAGTTATTGATTTAATTAGTATATTTAATGTTTGCTAAGAGTTCTGTAGGATTGATGAATAGCTTTTGAGTTTTTTTGCATGTAACTATTTAAGTATATTCATTTATGTGTTCATGTAATTACCCTTATTTAAACATGTTTAATCTCTCTTCTTTGTCTTTTTTTTCAGATTCTATCAAATTTTAAGGACAAATGTACCTTATAGCTCATGGAAGAAAAAACACAAATCAAGACATTTTTGGGTTCCAAATTGCCAAAGTATGGAACAAAATCTGTAAGAAATACACAGCCAATGCCAAACGGGACAGCTGTTAATTTATTAGGAACTTCCAAGAGTAGTAATGTCAAAAGTTACATAAAAAATAATGGCTCTGATTGTTCATTGTCCCATTCATTTAATTGGAGAAAAACAAATAAATACCAACTTACTGCACAAAATACTGAAGAGCCTAGCAGTTCTCAGAGTTCACTTGATAAATTAATTGATCCTGAAAAACATGCTTCCACTCAAGGAATGTTTGAAAAAAATGGGATAAAGGGAGGTTTGAAAAGTGTATCTTTATTCACATCAAAGTTGGCAAAGCCATCCACTATGTTCATGTCATCCACAGAAGAGTTAAATCAAAAGTCTTTTTCTGGAACATCTAATTTGGGTAAATTCACCAAAGGCACATTATTAGGAAGGACTTCATATTCTGCAGTCAGTGCTCCAAAATCGCAATTAAATGGATTTTATGGAAACCGATCAACTGGTAGCATGCAAAGGCCTAGAGCAAATTCCTTTGCCACCAGAAGCAGTTCTGGAGAAAGCTTAGCACAGTCCCCAGACAATATTAAATCTATTACTTGTGAAAAAATGGTAAGGTCTCAGAGTTTTTCACATTCCATTCAGAATCCATTCCTTCCACCTTCATCTATAACAAGGTCACATTCCTTCAACAGAGCTGTTGATCTTACAAAGCCTTATCAGAACCAACAGTTACCTATTAGAATGCCTCTACGATCAAATATGCTGACAAGAAATTCCCGACAATCAGAAGTACTCAATGGGAATGAACACTTGGGCTATGGATTTAATAGGCCTTATGCTGCTGGTGGAAAGAAGTTGGCTGTACCAAATGGTTCAGGTGTAACTTCCACTTTGGGTTATAGGTTGGTTCATCCCACTCTACTGAAATCTAGTCGACCTCCATTTTCTGGGACTATCGCAGTTGATAATAATAAAAATGCACCTGCTAACACTTGTGTAGAGGAAGAGTCTTCAGTTTTGGCTAAGGACAGTGTTACTAATAAGGACCAAGAGCTAATTGAAAATGAAAGTTATAGAACAGAAAACAACCAGACCATGAAGCATGATGCTAAAATTAGGTACCTGAGTGATGATGTGGATGATATTTCCTTGTCGTCTTTGTCATCTTCTGATAAGAATGATTTAAGTGAAGACTTTAGTGATGATTTTATAGATATAGAAGACTCTCATAGAACTAGAATAACTCCAGAGGAAATTTCTCTCAAAGAAAAGCATGAAAATTTACCATCAAAGGATATATTTGATTCTCCTAAGGAAAATGAAAAAACTTTCATTAAAACTGATGAATGGATCGATATAAGTGTCTCTGGTAAATATTATAATATCCTTAAATTATTTGCTTTTTAAAGATAATATAACTGATCTTACATTTAGGATTCTTTTCTTTTTTTATTAAATTATTTATTCTAATTTGTTATAAATGATGGCAGGATGCAATTCATTTCATATTACACATATAGAGCACAATTTTTCAAGTCACTGATAGTATACAAAGTATTTTCACACCATTTGAGTCTTCATACATGTACTTAGAGTAATGATGCCTAACTCATTCCATCATCATTTCTACCTCCTTGCCCCCTCCTTTTTCCTGTGTCCCCTTTGCCCTATCTAAAGTTCCTCCATTGAAGTTGGAGAATATAATGCTAGGTGAATCAAGCCAATCCCAAAAAACCAAAGGCCGAATGTTTTCTTTGATATGAGGATGTTGACTCATAATGGTGATGTGAGGGTGGAACATGGGAGGAATGGAGGATTATTTTCTGATATATGCCAAGTTACTATCAATTTTACACAGTGATGGATCTAGATAAAACTGGAGTAGGGCAACATTTATCTTCCTTGTAACTTTTGCTACCTATCCTGTTTTTTATCCTATCTAAAACAAAATCAGTAAAAGCACTTTAACCTTTGTTCTTCTTTGCCTGTCATACACAGGCATGTTCTTACTTAGCCTAAGCAATGCTTTCCAAAGGATTTTTTTTTCCTCACTTTCCCCAAGCATTAGTACACAATTAAACAAACTCTTTATTTAGGGTAACAGATCGTTGCTTTTTTTTTTTTTTTTAGGGCAAATGAAATAATACAAATTATGTACAAATCTGTGTTTTTTTTTTTAAATGCTAGGAAATTTTCTTATTTAGCAATCTTTATAGTCATACCAGAAGAGCTTTATTTTGTTTTTTAATTGAAGAATGTGGGATAGCCCCTATTAAGCATTACCTCTTATATTTGGGTATATTGGCACTAAATACTGGAGAAAGTATTTCTGTGTGTTCATATGTCCTGAAAAAAGAACAAACAAAGGGAATTACAAAGGCATGTGGGCTAAACAAGGGACTAAGTCATGCCTAGAGATGCACATAAACTCTTGGTCTCTTGTGGGTCTTACAAAAGACACTGCCAGAACAAGTTTTTTTCCTTTTAAGGAAGCTGCTCTGAGGTTAAATAATGTACACAAAGGAAGGGAGTTTCCTGGCCAGTGGTTAAAAGTAAATATCTTAGGAAATATTAAAGAATATGTAAGAAATGTTGCAGAAGTAAAAGGCGATTAAATTAATTTTTTTTGTTTATTAGAAAATATTTCAGTAGGTTATTTTTAAGACTGTCTCTTTTATTTGTAATTTAGGAATTGCAAAATGATAGTAATATAGTTTGTACCTACTTTTTTGCTATTATATATTAAATATATATTAAATTCTTTTTTGCTATTATATATTAAATTCTTATATTTTTAGAGCATGAGAATAATTTTATTTTTGTGAATTAGTAACTTTTTCTCTCTCTTTTTAAATCAATTGAAGACAGGAGTGAATGTACAAAACATCCTTCTGGAACTAATTTGATTTCACCAGATACGGATTATAGAGCTGGTTCTTCATTTGAACTTTCTCCATCTGATAGCTCTGATGGAACATACATGTGGGATGAAGAGGGCTTGGAACCCATTGGAAATGTCCATCCAGTTGGCAGCTACGATTCTTCTGAAATGAATAGCATTGTATGTATGAATTTATATGCCCTTTTAGAATCTTTATTTACTTACTGCAGTGAGACTTTATGACACTGACTTTTTTATTTTTAGTTTACAAATTCATTTTTCTAGTTTGTGAGACATGGGAAGTCATCAGTTAAAGTATGAAGAGTATATGACATTTGACTTAAATGTACTTATATATGAACATATTCATCATACACAAATATGTACATACTGTATTGGTCAAGCTAATCTAGACCATAGGTTCTCATGGAGGTAGAAGAAGGCAATAGTTTGTCCCATTTGGTGAGTGGAGGCCAGAAATGCTGCTTCACATCCTACAGTGTGCAGGAAAGAATTATCCAGCCTAAGACAGCAGTAAAGCTGCTGTTGAAAAATACTGGGTTAGGCTGTTCTGAGGTACTATTCAAGTACCACCTCTGTGTGGCTTAATACAATAAAAGCTTTAGTTTTTATTCTTAGAAAATGTATTATAGTTCTGAGTAGCTTGATAAGCAGGTGTCTTTAGTGATTTTAGCTGTTTTGAACTTGGGGCCCATCTTTTGAGGCTCTTTCTTGTGGCAGAGGGAAGGAGTGCTAGAAAGTCTTACTCATTTTTATTTGCTTTGTCCTACAAGTGGTACTTGGCATTTTCACTCACAGTCTATTGACCAGAACTGATTATATGGCCCCACAAAACTACTGAGAAGATAGGAAGTGTAGTTTTCCTATATGTCTGGAAGACAAGAGAACTAGGTATGGGTGAGTATTAGAAGACATACCGTGTAATTATTTATTTATTTATTTTGTGTGTGTGTGTGTGTGTGTGTGTGTGTGTGTGTGTGTGTGTATATATATATATATATGGTTTCAGAAACATTGTAAGTAATATGGAAAATATGCCATATGAATAAAGTGTACCTGGAGTGTTTAAAATAATTAACTGTAATTATTCAACATATAAAATATGATTTTTCCAGAAAATCAAGTGGGTAGTCTTTGTGGCTATATTATATTACAAATGGATTTTAAACAATATGATTTTCTATACTCATATAAGCCTGTGATGTGGAACAAAAAAGACATTATTACCAGAGACTTTTTAGGTTGCACAAACAGAGAGGATATGCATTTAATTTAGAAAGAGTATCTTCATCTTTTTAGAGAAAGGTTGTAAGTAAAGGTTACACTTCAGGGCCTTTTGTTCTTTTTATAATAGAATTTTTTAAAAGAATAATTGATGTAGAGATGAACATTGTGTCCAGAAGATGGCAGCAATAAGCTACTTATTACCTAATATTTTCAGAGCAACCCAGCTCATTGTTCCTGTAACAAATGATAAAGTAGCTTTCTCTGAAACAGTTCAATTTGAGAATTAGTTCTTTAGATGCATGGATTTTCTCATTGATCAGTAGGCTTGTGTATGATGGAATGGGAACAAACAAAAGTGTTCATTCTGTGTTTTGGAACAAGAAGTCACCTGTGTCTTCTCATTAAGGCGGAAGACAAGTCTGAGAAAGGATGGAGAATGAATAGAAAAGTTGGGAAGTGTGTTGGTCTCCTACTGTAATAGCAGATTCATCATTTTTGCTCAGAAGTTCTCTCAGGTTTCTGCTTTGAGTATCCTGTTTATTTTGTTAGATGTATACCTATTTAGAATTGTTTTTTTGGTGAATTATTCTTTAAGTCATTTAGTCTTATATCTTTTCTTTCCTTGTTTATGCACTTTATCATAAGATCTTTTTTCCCTCTTAGATATTAGTATACTTTACCACTTTTACCTATGTATTTTCCTTCCTTTTAGAATCAGCCTTTTTGATACATGGCAAATACATTATTATTATTATTATTATTATTTTTAGTACTTGGAATTGAACCTGGGGGTGCTTTAATAACTGAGCTACATCCTCAAGTCCCCCTCTTATTTTTGAGACAGGGTCTTGTTAAGTTGTTCAGGCCAACCTTAAACTTGCAATTTTCTTGCCTTAGCCTCTTGAGTAGTAGGGATTATAGACATATGTCAATGTGCCTGGCAATAATAATAATATATTATTTTAAAAAATTTAGTTTGTCCTTTTAATTAGTAAGCTTAGTCATTTGTGTTTGCATTTATTGATGTTTTAGGACTAGATTCTACCATCTTAATATTTTTTACTTAAAGAGTATTTTTCATTTTTTTTAAAGTAGTTCAAATTAATACGTCTAACTAACATGTTCTCACTTTTCTCAGCCTGTACAATAATGTTTATTTCCAGGCCAGGTCAAGATAAGTTAATGAGTTAATGTATTATATATTTTATATATAATATTATTTTATACTGTTGTTGAGGGCATTTAGTTAGGCTGTTTCCAGTGTTTGGCTATTAGTGAATTGCACTATTGTGCATATTTTGTTGTATTTTTTTATGAACATTTATTTATTTGTGTTGGTAAAATATGTAGGAGAGGGATCTTTTGGCTATAGGGTATACTTATATATTATGTACACCTACATAGGTGTTGTTAACTTTACAAAGTGATAGTACCTGTTTACAACTCCCACAGCAGTAAATGAATATTCTGTAAATTCTACTTTCTTGTCTGCATCTCTTTGTATGTTTAATATTCTGGTGGGGATATAGTAGAGTAGTGCATTGAGATTTTGTCTTTTATATTTAATGGTAAGTACCCACTGAACACTTTCACATATATTTATTGGTCCTCAGGCTATCCTCTTGTGAAGTGCCTTGCATTGGGTTACTTATATTTTTTCTTATTAGATTGTAAAAAATTATATATATTTTTATATATTTTGGATATAAATCTTATGTATATGTAAGTACATAATATATGTATGTAAAATATGTTTTGCATATATTTTCTACTCTGTAGATTGACTTTTAGATCTAATAGTGTCTTTTGATAATAAAACTCACTAATTTTAATATTGTCCAATATATATTTCTTTTCTTAATTATTGCCATGTTTTTGAACTGTTTGTGAAATCTTTGTCTACTCTAAAGTTATGAAGGTATGTACCAACCAAGACTTTGCTTATTGATTTATATTTTACTTTTGACACTTAGGTCTATAATCTAGAAATTATTTTTGTGTGAGGTCAAGATGAATTAACTAATTGTTTTGGTACTGGGGATTGAACTCAGGGGTACTTTATCACTGAACTATATCCCAGAACTTTTTTATTTTTTATTTTAAGAAAGGGTCTTGTTAATTTGCCAGGGCTGGCCATAAACTTGAAGTCTTCCTGCCTCAGACTCCTGAGTCACTGGCATTATAGGTGTGTGCTATCATACCCATCAGTTTTATTTTTTAAAAAGCTCTTTTCCCTATTCTACTACAGGCTCATCTTTGTCATAAAATTAGTGACTATGTACATAAATATTTCTTGGCTCTTTTAGTTCATCTATCTCTTTGTCTAGCCTTGTGTCTGTACCACATTCTTTTAATTATTGTAGCTTTAAATGTTTTGATATCTGGTAGTATAAATCTTTCATCTTTTTTGTTTTCTACTATTTCCCTATGTCTTGTTAGCCTTGCATATTTTCATTTAAATATTGGAATAAACTTGTCAATTTCTGTAGAAGACCTGGAAGGATTTTGAATACATTAAATTTATAGGTCATTTTGGAGAGACTTGATAAATTTATGATGGTTTTCCAGTTCTTATAGTATATTCCACCATTTATTTGGAATTTAGAAAAATTTCTTGCTAATATTTTGTACTTTTCTGTAAATGTTATATATATATTTGATTTAATTTTAAGTCTTTGCTACTATGAATGACACTACTTTTAAAATTTTATTTTCAAAGTTTTTATTGTTGTAAATATTACAGATATGCTTTATGTTTGCCTATTGACCTATTTTTTTAAGAACTCTGGTAAATCTATTCTCTTATGGTATCTAATAATTTGCCCATGGATAGTTTAAGAATTTCTATATATATACTGTACAATCATAGCACTTGCAATATTGTCTCCGACCTCCCAATTTCAGAGGGAACATTTTGATAGTTTACTATTAAAGCTGTGGGGGCGCCACAAGGAGAGAAAATATTATCAGGTTGTGAAAGTTTCTTTCTTTCTTTCTTTCTTTTTTCTTTTTTTGAGATAGGTTCTTGCTATGTTGCCCAGGTTGGTCTTGAACCCTCAATTTCAAGTGATCCCATCACTTTAGCCTCCTGAGTAATTGGGACTATAGGTGCATATGCCAGTGCCCAGCTTGGAAATTCTCTTTTGTTTGTTGAATTTTTATTATGAGTATATTAATGTTTACCAAATGCCTTCTTTACATCCATTAGATAATTAAATCATTTTAGCTGTTAGTGTGGTGGATTGCATTGTTTTCAGATATTAAACTACCTTTGCTTACATTCACTTGTTTGTGATATATTATCCTTTAAAATATTGTTAGTATTGATTTGCTAATATTTAATTTGTGTGTGTGTGTGTGTGTTCATAAGCAACATAGTTCTGCCTTGTAATTTTCTTCTTTTTTCTGTCATTTGATATCAAGGTATATGTTAGCTTTATTAGGAGTTAAGTTATTCCTATTTTTCTGCCTACTGAGTTTGTATATAATTGATATTAACATTTTCATTCAGTATTTAAAAGAATTCATCAGAATTCAACCTTTTGGACCTGCAATTTTCTTTGTGAGGTTTTTAAAAATAGATATTGGCCCACTCAGACTTATGTGTATATTTTTTCTTATGTTGCTTTCTAGAATTTGTCTGTTTCATCTAGGGTATAATTTGTTTTAAAGTGATGTATAGTATTTCATTCCTAATACTGGTAAGTAGCATTTCCGCTTGTTTTCTTTATTTTAAAGAACCAAATTTGGGCTTTGCTGATTTTTGCTTGTTTTCTGTTTTATAGATTTTTTTCACAACTTTATTTCCTTACTTCAGTTTTCTTTAATTTGTTTTTTCCTTTCTAAAATTCATGATATGCAAACTAATTTATTGATTTTAGCCTTTTCTCCACCTCTAATGTAGGCATGGATTCTCTTAAGGAGAAGGCTTT